AGGTCAAAGACCATGTACTTATTTATGATTCTTCATACAAATGGCCACAGTATATTTTAGAAAGGTTCTGTTAACTTTTCTAATGCTGTATCAAAGTGTTTCATGCCTTTTTTTAATCCTTCCACTTTTCCAAAAGCTTGACTAGAAAAACATAATTTGAGACTGGTCTAGATACTGAAATTTAATAAGTTAAATTGTCACCATAATCTTCACCATTCCTCTTTCCATGTCTGTCCAAAGCTCATGAGAACCAGGTGCCCAGTGGCTTATGTGTTTCACTCTAGCTACTTAGGAGTCTGAGATCTTGTGGATCAAGATTCAAGGTCAGCTCAGGCAGAAAAGCACCCTAAACTCATTCTATGAGCCCAGCAAAAACTGGCTCAAAGAGTAGTGCACCAGCTATCAAGTGCTAGTCCTTAAGTTCAAAACCTCTTACTGCAAAAAAAAACAACAAAAAAATGAGATTGTTTTATCCTATTGCCTGCTTTTGTTTGCTCTTTTCAGATTCAGGAATTCTGGGGCTTCAACCCATTGCCTTTGTCCCCAATGCTCCTCGACATTTGGTAGATAGGAGAGGAGAGGAGATTCCTGTGGTCATTGCTGCATCTGAAGACAGGCTTGGAGGGGCCATTGCAGCCATAAACAGTGTTCAGCACAACACTCACTCCAATGTGATTTTCTACATTGTTACCCTAAACAACACAGCAGACCATCTGCGGTGAGTTTTCATTGCATGATTCAGCTTCTAATGGATGCTCTAGAGTAGGCCAGCTGCCAATTCATGAACTGTCTTAGAGTATACATGTTTACATAATTGAGGTTATGACAATGTAAGATGCATGTGACATTTTTCCACATGACTGTATAAGCAGGAATACTATAAAGAACTTATGCCAAGAAGTAAACAAATTATCACTATTCCTATTACTACTGAGTTGCTGTTTCAGCAATAAGACTGATGGTTTCATGCTAATGTGGTGAGGTTGTAAGCAAATACTGATCCAAGTCTTAGTGTATATTGATTAGGGGAACCTTGTAGCCCATTTTTCCTCTGTAATTAGAGTAAAAATACTCAATTTAGAGGTTGTGGCAAATGAAAGAGAAATTATATAGAATACTTAGTTGGGCAAGATGGCTTAAGCCTGTAATTCTAGCTAGCCACTTAGGAGGCAGAGATCAGGGGACTATAGTTGAAGGTCAGCTGAGGCAAAATGGCTGGGCATGGTGGTATGCACCAGCTTTCACGGGAAGCACATCTGGGCTATTCCCCGGCAACATGGGGAAATCACAAGCAAGAGGACCAGCCAAAGCTGGCCTGGAACCTACCTATAAAACAACAAATGCTACTTAAACCCAAGTGAGAGTATTCATGCTTTGGTACTGGCACCAAAAGAAAAAAGACTAGAAGTGTGTTAACATGGTAGAGTGCTTTGCACAGCAAATATGACATGGCTCTGTTCTACCCAGTACTAACAAAAACACACCTAGCTCATAGTAATTGCTTGTAAGTCTTAACATTTTACTTATAGTTAATGCAAACACAATGGACTCTCATTTGTGAAAATTAAAGTTTATTGCAAGAAACTGCTTAACATTTACCTGTGTTCTGAAACATGAACTATCATATGGCTATTTCCATGGCTCATGTTTAGTTTATGAAAGCTGTGACTTCAGAACCCTTGCAAGATGTAGAAACATACTGCTTAAAATAGACCATAGAGGGGCTGGGAAGGTGGCTCAGTGGTAGAGTGCTTGCCTTGCATGCATGAGGCCCTGGGTTCGATTCCTCAGCACCACATAAGCAAAAAGAAAAAAAAATAGACCATAGAAATGACACTAAATGTTCCCCAAACGCTTATTTAAAATAGATGACAAGAAATGTGTTTACTTCTTCAGGTTCTTAACAGAGCTTCAGACTTCAGTGGATCAAGAATTACTTAGGGTTGTCATGGTGAATTAATTCATTATATAGGTAACAGACTACTTGCTAGCTTGTTACCTTTCACTACCATTGCAATTTGGGGGCAAGTACTGAGTTTGAACTCAAGATCTTGTACTTGCTAGGCAGGCACTCTTGAACCACAACTCCTTTTTTGGTCTTTTTTAAAACCTTGCCCCATGTTTGGACTATGATTTTTACTTTTTTGGGGTGGAGGGGAGGGGGTTCACAAGCTTGAATTCAGGGCCTAGGCCCTGTTCCTAAGCTTTTTCACTCAAGGCTAGCACTCTAGCACTTCTTTCGGGAATATAATTTTCTTGCACTTGCTGGATTCTTGTATGAGACTCCTATGCCCAGCTTTTTTCTTTTGGGGGTGGGAAATGGTACTTCAGTACTGTCTTGATCTCCTCATTACAGGATCCAGCCACTGGTATCTACCACTACCACTATTCTTTGACTTTTTTTTCCCCAGGGTATTTGGAAAGTTAAGAATTGAATCTCTGGGGGCTGGGAAGGTGGCTCAGTGGTAGAGCGCTTGCCTTGTATGCATGAGGCCCTGGGTTCAATTCCTCAGCACCACACAAGCAAAAGAAGAAAAAAGCCTGAAGTAGCGCTGTGGCTCAAGTGGTAGAGCGCTAGCCTTGAGCTGAAGAGCTGAGGGACAGCACCCAGGCCCAGAGTTCAGGCCCCACGACCGGACCAAAAAAAAAAACAAAAAACAACAAAGAATTGAATCTCTGGCCAGGCATGGTAGTGCACATTTGTAATTCCAGTACTTGGTAGATTGAGGCAGGTGGCTTGAAACACTGGATACATATGTAGCCTGGGCAGTGCCATAACCAAAATTGAGTCATCCATGTGTTGGTGGCTACAGAGTTTTAGTATACCAGTCTTAGTTGACAGCCATATGGTAGCAATATCTACATTTCAGATGAAAAACCAAGGAAGGAACATGGAAACGTTTGTTACTAGTGAATTTTAAAGCATAGTGTATGCCCTCATTAGAAATGGATAAGGTTATGTATGGCTTGGAAATATGACTATTTAAAGCTGAAATGCAGCCCTCACCCCCTTTTTATCAGGTCCTGGCTCAACAGTGGTTCTCTGAAAACCATCAAGTACAAAATTGTGAATTTTGACACTAAACTTTTGGAAGGGAAAATAAAGGAGGATCCTGACCAGGGGGAATCTATGAAACCAGTGAGTTCCCTGTATCTGTTAGTACTTGGGCATTATTTTAGAATACTGTGGGTATAGTACAAGTCAGTCCCTGGGAACCAAATCCAGAGGGTGCTAAGATTCCTTTAGTTATCTTATGCAAGGTCTCAGATGTCTTTGTAGCTTCTATGTAAATAAAAGTATAGCCACTGGATCCTATGTCAATGTTCCTTTCCTTTTCCAGTTAATCTTTGCAAGATTCTACTTGCCAATCCTGGTTCCCAGTGCAAAGAAGGCCATATACGTGGATGATGATGTGATTGTGCAAGGTATTAAAGATGGGAGGAACAGGGAATCTTAAGGGACTACGGAATGTTTTAACCATGTCCATTTCAGGTGATATTCTTGCCCTGTATAATACACCACTGAAGCCAGGACACGCTGCTGCATTTTCAGATGACTGTGATTCAGCTTCCACTAAAGTTCTCATCCGTGGAGCAGGGAACCAGGTATACAACTTTAATGTGAAGGAGTGGCAAATTTAGGGAACTCATTTCTGATATATATTTCATAATTATTTCCCCTCCAAACTCGTCTTTCTGTTGTTTCATTTATAAACATGTCAACCTAATTCTTGAACATCTGTTTTGTGAAGCCAGTCCTAAAAGTCACTTTTGTTAGTAAAAACCCAAGAAGCCAATTTTTAGCCAGCTTATTTTTGCTAGCTAGAAACTATTTTTGTTCCTGTTTGTGTTTTCAGTACAATTACATTGGCTATCTTGACTATAGAAAGGAAAGAATTCGGAAGCTTTCCATGAAAGCCAGCACATGTTCCTTTAATCCTGGAGTTTTTGTTGCAAATCTGACAGAATGGAAGAGACAGAATATAACTAACCAGCTGGAAAAATGGATGAAACTCAATGTAGAGTAAGTAACTGGAATTTTCAAACTCTTGGATTTCAACTAACAGGATTTGGTCAGTATTGTTCACTAAACGTTTGTTGTCTGCTCCACCAAGAGAGGGACTCTACAGAACACTGGCTGGCAGCATTACAACACCTCCTCTGCTTATTGTATTTTATCAACAGCACTCCACAATTGACCCCATGTGGAATGTCCGCCACCTTGGTAAGTACAAGTAAAATCAGCAATTAGAATGTAAAGACAGGCCTGTCCTGAGATGAAAAATGTGTGGTTATCTTAAATTTTCGGTAGCTTAGTTTGGCTGCCTAATGACTGGTACAATCACATTGCTCTTTCTCTCAACTGTAAGGTTCCAGTGCTGGAAAACGGTATTCGCCCCAGTTTGTAAAGGCTGCCAAGTTACTCCATTGGAATGGACACTTTAAGCCATGGGGAAGAACTGCTTCATACATAGACATATGGGAAAAATGGTACATTCCAGATCCAACAGGCAAATTCAGCCTAATCCGAAGACATACAGAGATGTCAAACATAAAGTAAAATAGAATAAACTATAACCATTTCTCAGGAAATCCTGTTGGATCCATGTGTGGCCATGCTAGGCTTCCATGCCTATGTGGAGCAATCCACAAATGAAATGTTTCAGAAGTTCAGTAAAGATACCAAATTGCCTTGTTTGGCAAAGACTGTCCATCTCTGCCTCACCAAGTGTTGCCTACCACAATGCTCATTGACCAGAATGGACTAAGGCTGGTAACTAAGTATACAGCTAATTTAAGAACTGCTGCTTGGTTTTAATTTTGTAACCTGTGGCCTCATCTGTAAATAAAACCTAATTTTTTTTCCCCCAAGACTGTGCTTCCAGGAGACTTCTTTTTATGCAGAAGACACTTTTTAAACAGTTTTGATAGTTTAATGTCATATATACACCATGATCCATATTAACAAAATTACAGCCCATGTCATACCAAAACTGACATACATATTTAGAAGATTTTAGCAGTGTGCTTCAAGTGTTAAACTTTGTAGAAAAGAACAAAGTTCCTTTCATGGGCATAGGGTAGATGGCTAAAATCCCAACACTTCATAGATAGAGGCAGGAAGATCACAATTTGGGGAAACCCTAGGCTACAGTCTCCAAAAACCAAAATTAAGACCATGAGCCGAGCCCCAGAGGCTCCTAATTCTAGCTACTCTATCGGCTGAGAGCTATGGAATTATGATTTGAGTTCATCTCCATAAATAAAAAGATGAGTTGTTTATACATAATCTGTGCTGAAGTCATAAGCATCATCCTCTTTAGTAATTTTACCCAAAACAAATGATCTTGCAGATGGTTCACCTAAATTGGAGAAAAATAAAATGAAGCTTTATACAAAAAAGTAAAACCAATTTGTGTCAATGGGCTGCTTTCTTGCAATTGACTCACCTGTTAAAGATTTTTCAGGCAGTAGTTCCTCTGTTATCTCTTTCACAGGAGACTTGTTGGAGATCCCTTCCTGTGAGACACAGAAATGATTAAGGATTGGCAGATCATAGTCTCATCTGTACCTAAAAAAAAATGAGTCAAAATACAAAACAATTTGTATTGCCAAAGCTCATGGAATTCACAAGCTATATAGACCGTGATGATAACGATGTGCCTTGTGAAAGTTAAAATGTGTTTGTGACTCCTATCACTATTGCACAATATTGTGAAACATGTGGAATTTACGTAATCACCTAATCTCAATTTAAGGAGAAAAAAAAGAAGGGATGGCTGACAATGTTGTCAGATACCTTGTATTCATATACTATTTTGTAGAACAGGAACGTTTTTGTGTGACTACTTAAAGATAGCAATAACTACAAAGTCTCACAGACTTTCCTGCCCCAGCTGGCTTCAAACTGCTATCCTCACATCTCATCCTCTCAAGTAGCTAAAGATTACAGTGCTGCCTAACAAACACATACAGGTTTTTAAGTACAATGCACCCCTTTCATTTTTCTCTCCCATCCCTCCCCAGGTTGAGAATCAAATATGTAGTAAACTATGTAACATTTGAAAATGTCCAGTAAAAATAGATGCCAGTGAAAAATGCACTACTAAAACTGGTAGAATAAAACAAAAAAACCCAAAAACAATTAGTTTTGGAAGGTTATACATATCAGGTAAACTTCAGACTAGTGATGTAAAAAAAAAAAAAGCCCTCAAGTATCTAAGTTTTACAGTATTTTCTAGCTGATTAAAAATTTGTCTCTAGCCTTTCACATCACACATTCTACAAAATTTGAGCTTACATCAACTTCTTTGTTGTGCACACTCTCCTGGCCATTGTCTATGTTATCCTTCTGTTTGCTCTCTTTCTGTTTTGGCAATTCTTCAGCTATGTCAGTTTCCTCTGTTATTCCATTTGTCAAACCCGAAGAGCAGAAAAGGATGCTGTTGGCTAAATTGGGGTTCCTAATGGCTACGAAAAGAACAAAGTCCACATAAATAGGTAAAATCTACTTTGCCAGCAGATAAAAACAGCAGTGAAACACAAATCTCACCTTGTATACTATGTGCATTGTTCTTCTCTAGTTCTTCCAGATTAAAGCCCTTTCTCATGTTTGCCACAGTATTCTCATTAAAATGTGGAGAAAGAGTCCAGGATGCAGGAGGATGGCAATGGTAACCTAATGATGCACTGGTATTAAAAAGAGTATGTCAAAAAAATATTTTTTTTTGGTGGGCACCAAAATACCACCCAAATGAGGCCTTACCCTGTCCATTCAGACCATAGCAGCTTAGCAGCAGCTTCAATATTCAGGCTTCCACCTTTTTGGTGCAGACCTCTTCTGTGAGCAAGTGTCGCAAAAAACTCCTGCGAATTCTTATAGTTTGGGACAGTGTATTTTAGGACTACCTTAAAAACACAACACAAATTTTTCATTTATCTGCTACAGTGATAGGTGATAAGATTTACAGGAAATTGGCCGTGTCAAGGGAAATAGGGAGTTCTTTTACCTGCCGAGCATCAGCCTGGGACAGGATGGCACTGGCAAATTCCACTGGTTTTAGCGATTCAATGCTTGTTGGACTCCGAAGAGCAAGTGCAGCAGAGGAGTTAAGTGGTGAGACGATGAAACTTGGACTGTCTATGACAGTGATTTGTTTGTCCAACGGCACAACTTGCATGTTTCTGAAACAACAATGGAATTAATGGCACTGGTTTATATTGAGGGCAAAAGACCTAACATGAAGCTCAGGGTTGGATTGAACAAAACTCAACACAGTGAGTCAGATCCAATTTATCATCATTTGCTTCATGATTTTGTCCTTGCTTGGCAGGTGCTCTTACACTTGAGCCATAATCCCCAGCCTAAACTTTACTTTCTTGAGGCAATTCCCCACCACTTACATGACATTGAACCTAGAGCCTCACAGGTGCTAAGTTTGCTTGCTACTATGCTAGTAAACTTACTTGCGTAATGCCACCAGCTTCCTTCTCCTCAGAGAACAGTATGAATGAAAAAGCTTTGTCTTTGCAAAGCCTGAACTGTAACTTGTGTTCTTCTGCTTCTGCTTTTTAAGCAGTTGGGATTACAGTTGTACATCATATCCAGCTTCAGTTTTTGAGACTAGGGATTGAACCCAGGGCCTTGTACATGCTAGGTAAGAGTTCTCTTCCACTTGAGTAACAATCATAGCCTTTTAATTTTTCTCTCAAACTAAATTGTGGGCAGCTAAGACTTTATTAGCTCTTTACTTTTTAAAAGCTTTCCTCAAGAGAACCAAAACAAAATCTTTTTTACAATAAAAAATTTAAATTATTAAAACAGCTCAATTTACCTTGTAAGCCCCATAGCTATACCAACATTACATATCTGTTCTTGTTTCAAGCTATTAATGATGCTGCTTTTCCCCACATTTGGGAAACCTAAAATTAAATGGAAATACACATGTATATTAGTCTGAAATTTATAAATTTTCTATTGCAAAATTCTACTTGCCTAGTGTTCAGAACTGGATTAGTATCCTCACTTCAATCCAATCATCTTTTTTTTTTTTTGGGCCTATACTAGGGGTTTGAATTTGAGACCAAATACTCTTGTTGGTATTCTACCAATTGAATCATGCCTCCACTTTCGGCTGTTACTGGTTATACTGCAAAGAAGCTCATCTGTTATGCCCAGGCTGGCCTCAAATCCAGATTTCTCAAGTCTGTCACCTGAGCAGCTAGGATTATAGGCATGAGCCATGGGCACCTAGCAACTCCTTAATTTCTTGCACATTAACTTGTGAAAGGGCAAGAAAGGCTTAAACCAAGAATATGCATATTCAGTTGTGGAGCTGGGGATCAAATCCAATACCTCACTAATGCTAGGCAAATGCTTCACTGATCTACACTCCAGCTACCAAGTTTTTGGTTTTTTGTTTTTTTTTGTCGGTCATGGGGCTTGACTCTGGGCCTCAGTGCTGTCCCTCAGCTCTTCAGTTCAAGGCTAGATTACCACTTGAGCCACTTCTGGCCTTTTCTGTTTATGTGGTCCTGAGGAATCAAACCCAGGGACTCATGCATGCAAGGCAAGCACTCTACCACTGAGCTACCTTCCCAGCCCCTACCATTACTTTAGGAGGCTGCAGAAAGTCTAAAAGACTCTTCTCTCCAATAAGCTAAAAAAGCCAGAAGTGGCAGAACTCAATAAGGAAAAAAGCTCAGGAGCAGTGCCCAGCCCCAGGATTAATGGAGGGCCGGACGCTGGGAAGGGAGGCTAAACTTTTTTTTTTTTTGGGGGGGGTCCAGTCGTGGGTCCTGAACTCTGGGCTTGGGCACTGTCCTTCAGCTCTTCAGCTCAAGGCCAGTGCTCTACCACTTGAGCCACAATGCCACTTCCGGCTTTTTTCTTTTTTGCTTATGTGGTGCTGAGGAATTGAACCCAGGGCCTCATGCATGCAAGGCAAGCGCTCTACCACTGAGCCACCTTCCCAGCCCAGATAAACTCTTTTCAATGCCTAATCTTAAAGAAATGAACCTAGTAGCCATTAAACACTCCCCCCCCCTCGCCTTTTGTGTCTGTCCTGGGGCTCAAACTCAGGGATAAGCCTTTTTTGCTCAAGTTAAGTGCTTTACCACTTTCAAGCTCCACTTTGAAGACCTTGGTTTCACAATAGACATTCTTATTTAACCTGGTAAAAATCTTTGAAGAGGTAAACTATTACAAAACTCACCAATCACTCCAACCTGAATAGCTCTGCCATAAGTCTCCTGTAAACTTCCAAGAAGTTTCCAAAGGCTTTCTCTACCGAAGCAGACCTTGCTTTTGAATGGAGCCGTTTTTTTCTTTACCTCGAAACATTAAAATTCCAAATACATTAGTTTAATTATTGTGTTAACTCACTAGGTAAATGGACAAAGTCAAGCATCAGAGCCTAGCTCTTAAATGTCTAGCTGAAATCAGAGTTGGATCTTACTATTTTTTCACTTTAAAATCAATATTTTGTTTCACATCATATTTCAACCATCCAAATTCTGAAAGAACCACCTTTCCCATCCCTAGCATTAAAAGTATATACCTTGGTTATTTTTTTGTTTTTCAGAATTGTTGAGGCTTTGAACACCACTGTTGGTAATTCTTTCTTCAAATAATTTAGCCAGTTCTCCAAATTCTCCTTTGGTACTAGATCTAATAGGAATTAAGGATAAGACAAATGGCTTCAAGTTAGGCATTTTTGTCAAATACAGATTTGAATATTATTTACCTTATCCCAGGCTTTCCTCCACAAAAGAACTAATTACAAAACGAGGACAGGGAAGTTTCCTATTATGCTGTCCAAACAAGATCATCTATACTATACTTGTATAGTATAGATGCATTATAATCCTACAGCTGTTTTCTGGATTTCCCTCAGCTAAAAAAAATCTTGTTTCTTGACCAGTGACTTTTCATCTTGTCCCCACACTGTGCCACAAGTCTCTTGAGTTTATCTAAATATTTGTCAACCAAATCCCTTGACTACATAACACTGGTCAGATGAGAGATTCTGGCACATCACCATTTTCTATTGAAATTAAGACTACATGGCAAACAGGATAAACAAGCTCACATCCTTAAAGTGTTAAGTACTGAATGGCAAACAATATAGCAACTGAATCACTTGTAGAAACCACCTCCTTCCCAATGCCCAGCACTGTCTTTGGCATACAAGAGGACACACACTGGTTTGTTGAGGTCAGAGTTGGATCTTATCAGTCTTCAGTGATAGTCAAGACTGTTCAGATGTTTTCCTCATACCTCAATCAGTGTACTCACAAGGACTCACAATGAAGATCCCCTTTCCTCACCTGATTTATTTAATACAAGTACTAGCTTTTTAAGTCCATTCTGAACAACAGCCTCTTCTACCTGAGGACACCTGCAACCAAGAGGATCTCTGGCATCCAATACCTCCAACAGAACATCTGAGACTTCAATTACCTGTCAAAGAATAAACAATCAGAACAGCATTCCTGTGGGAACACTCAAATTTAGCTCTCTGCTATCATCTACCTGGCAACAAAGTGAGTTCAGAGTTGGATCTCATATCTTCATTTTGGTATGAAGAATGTGCACACTCATCATTTCTCACAGGAAAAGTAAAGTATGTAAGCATCTTAGAAACCTGATAGATATGGATTTACAAATATAAATAACCCCAACTCTATAGTTTGATAGACCTTCTGGCCTTCCTGAGAGGTCTGAGGAATAATTATGCTAAGATTATATCACCTACTTCAATTAGTTTTCAACATTTCCTCCTTTACATGGCTGGTGTCAGGTCAAGGAATGACCCATGTCAATTTTCAATATCTCATTACCATTATTAGACACTGACCTAAACTGAGATACCTTTTTAAGTTCCTGACAGTGTAACTTCTTTGGATTCTGTTTGGCCAACTTGGCTTTCTTAGTTTTGCACTGTCCAAATTCCTAAAAGGGCACAAAGATTAGAAGGAAACACACAATTAGGACTATACCAGTTGCAAGTTATATCTTCACATTTTTTTTTAATAGCTTAGAGTCTGAGGGTCTGCACATGGTGGCGGCACCTCTACAATACCAATTATTTGGGAGGCATAGGTAGGACAATCCCAGGGCACCCTTGGCAAATATTCTTAACAATATCTAAAAAATAAGCAAAAGCAAAAAGGGATAGGTGTGGCTTAAATGCTAAAGCACTTAACTTGTAAATGTTAAAGGTTTTGAAATCAAACCCAAATCTAGTGCTCTCCTCGCTAGAGTCTATCTTCTGGCCAAGACCCACTAGACTACATGTAAGTTTTTATTTGTGCCTCAAAACTCATCTTCCACTTTTAGAAGGATACCTTACCTCCTCAGGCTTCTCATCAGATGGCTTCTCATCAGGGTTAGTTTCAAGTTTCCTTTTCATTCCTTGTTCTTTCTGTCTATCAAGTTTCTCCTGCTGTTTTAGTTCTTCAAGCTGTGTCCAAACAGTAAGAAAAATGAGTCAGTGTTTTTACTTTGAAAAAAACTCACCCACACATGATTACTTAAAATTTCAGCTAACTTACCAGTTGTTTCCTTAGCTCCGCCTCCCGAAGAACAGCCTCTTTAAAAGGAGCACTGTTTGGAACTCCTAAGTCTTTCTTAGGTTTCTTGTGACCCCGTTTTTTAGCTTCTTTCCTTAATTTTCGATGGTGTTCTCTAATCTATTAGGAAAAAAATCATTTTGCAAAAGTATTTTCTTTTTAAACAGGACTAAATGATCTAACTACAGTTATGACTCTAAAATGAGAAAAATGGAGTTTTAATTGGCACAATAAAGTATGCATGTAATAAAGCTACAAAAAATAGAACATTAAAAAGAGGCTCTTCTCCCACATGCTGGGGACTATACTTCTAGGTACTTAGAAGGCAGATCTAAAAATTGAGCCAGGAGCAGCAAAGTCTATGAGACTCATCTCCAATTACCCACGAAAAAGCCAGGGAACTTGGCTCAAGTGGTAGAGCATCAGCCTTGAGGGGGAAAAGCTAAAATGAATCATTAGTCTTACCTTCAGAGGAGAAATGAGACAGAAATCAGTAGAGTGATATACTGGGTATGACGCTCTAAACAACAATACGTACCTTTTTTTGGATTTTATACCGCTTATGGCAGGTCATTCGTTTACTTGCTTTCTTCAACTCTATATTAAAAAAAAAGACCAGTCACAAATGATCTGTAAGTGGTTTTCGGTGATTCCACTATGCTATTATGTCCAGTCCTGTGTTACATTAGTTATTGATCTAACATTAAGAATTGTGAAATGTTGAATACAAACATGAATGTCATTTTCAAATCCCAAGATGATACAGCCGATCGGAGCCCGTTTCCCCACAACGACCCTTCCCCTATTAGAATGGGATCACACGCAGAAGCGTTGAATCCCAAGCGGCAGCCACTCGTGCTAAACGCGTCGGCGAGGGGGCTCACAGCTTCAACCCCCAAAGCAAAAAGCGGCCTGAAATCAGGCTCGGACGGTATCTCACAAAAACCGGGCCTGGCCTCCCCCATCCTCCGGACCCCAGTCTTCTTCCCACAAAGGAAATCCGCAGTTGATCATCGGATGGGCGAAGCGCCCGCGCCGTTCCACCCCACAGAGAGAAGGCCTCCCCCCAATCCCACAGCCTATTTTCGCAGAGCCCAAGCCAAAGAACGCCACACTGCGCGGCCGACTGCCAGAAATCAACAGATACAGGTTCTCTCCAAACCCGCCACTGGACCCCACTCACTCGGCCGCTTCATGGTGGCTGTGAAGTCCGCAGTAGCAGGGGCAGCAACCTCGAGAACGTTCCTCCGCCTGCGCCACGTGCGAACTGAGAATGGGGCCGGGGGGAGGGGGGGAAACGAACGTCACGCACTTACGCTACTGCCGTAAAGTGCGGCTCCGTCCTTCCGCGTGCACGCGCACGTAGTGTCGCTAAGACTCAGGCTCGCTTGGCGGCCCGGGGCTGGTTTTGCGACGGCACTGGGAGGGGTGAGGGTTGTGAGGGCGGCGGGTGCCGGAGCTACGGCAGCGGCCGCGACCGGAGGAGCAATAGTAGCAGCCGTGGCGGCCACGGGGCGGGGCGCGGCGGCGGGCCTCGAGATGGGCCCAGCAACCTAGCCGCACCTGCCGTCCGGGACAAAGACGCGCCACAGCCCGGAAACTCCCCGCGCTGTTCTTTCCCGCTCGTCGTGGGGCGGCTTCGCAGCTGTCAACGTTTCCCTTAGACTCCCGTACCAATGACAGGTCGGGGAAGTCCGTCCTCTCCTCGGCCGCTCAGGGCCTCCTTTTTTTGTTGTTCCTTTTGGATTCGACACAAACTCTAATGCTTTTCTCCTGCTTAACGTATGTTTGTTCACGCCCGGTATTTTTTATTAGTGAGACATATTTAATAGAGGCAAGATAGTTCAGCTTCTCATCTGCAACATCACGGAGAATCGGGGTTTCCAGGACTACATTATTTCCTGGATTTGAAACATTTTCCCAAGTTTTTTTTTTTTACTTTCTAAAAGGAAAGCATAGTTTTGCTATTGTAAGAAAGCAATTTTGTTATAAAAGGTAGAAAAAGTAGCAAAAATATAGAAGAAATTCCTAGTAGAGTAGTAAAAATATAGAAGTCCTGAAAAGCAAATGACAAATACACAGAAAAGTGGATTAAAATTCTTAACAGTAAATATGAAAACATGTGTTGGAATAAAATATTTTAACGTGGACTCCTCAAAACTGATTTTAGGTGTTTTCCCTCCTGTTTAGTATACCTTTTTTATACTATCGCTAGAAACCATATTGTACTCAATACAAATATTAAGAGCATAATTTTTGCTTTAGTAATTGTTATTTTGGATCTGAAGATCTCAAATGGGATGAATGTCTTGAAGTATTTCAGATTAAAACAGCAACAATTATGTTTGATGATGAATGGGAGAACCTTGTCTACTTTCTTTGGCTTGTGGAGTGTACAAAAATATTTCAACAATAATTTACAATAATTCTAAGTAAATTGTAGTATATTGATATAGTAGACTATCAAACGTGGAAAATGTTTATTTGGAAAAATTTCTGAGTTTAAACAGGCGATAAAATAATTTGTATGTTTTTTTTAACCACTTTTGTGTGTGTGTAATTACTGGGGTTTGAACTTAAGACATTGTGCTTGTTAAGCAGATCCTCTACTATTTGAGCCATGCCCCCAGCCCTTTTAATCATGTTTATTAATAATTTTTAAAAATATACACATAAGGCATAAATAGAAAGTCTCTGGATATAACTGGTAAGAGTAGTTTTTCTGTGATAGGTAGGATTATAGTTGCCTTTTTTTCTGCCTTTGAGTCTTTAGTTTTCCATGAGTTTTATTTTAAATGTACTCTGTAGTACATAGACTAAACATCTAGAAACACAGGAGAACACAAAAAGTTTTTCTCTCTGAAAAGTAAATAAATGCTGAAGGGATGCCTACAGGCCTTTGAAACCATGGATCTGAAAATTTAAGGCCTTATTTAAGTTCACTTTCAGTGAACTTTTTTTGTTTTTAATCTTTAAAAGATAAATTGGGCATCCAACCGGTACCTAGCACTATTTTATAGGTTAGGACTGAAAAAATGAAGAGAACCCTGTTTTTGTGCCCAGGAAGCATGTAGTCCTAGAATTGTGCCTTGAAGTTTCAAAGACATTTCTTGTATATGGTCTCTTATTGTCAGAGCAGTCCAAAAGATTGTGTGTGTGTGTATTTTCATTTTCAATTTAGAGATGGAGTAGATTTGAGAGGTTATAACTCAGGCAACATCAAATAGATAATTAGAGCTGGAACATCAGGGACTTCTAATCTTCTTCCTATGGATCCTGTTGCTTCTTTCACCTCAGAACATTGCCTTGGTAGCTGGGTGTCGTGGGTCATGGCCAGTTTGTGCCAGCTACTGAGAAGGTGAATGCAGGAGTCTTTTTGGTTTGAGGCCAGCTCTGGCAAAGTTAGCTCTACCCTCCCTCAAAATCAAAATGTAAAATAAAAGGACTGAGAGCCTGGCTCAAGAGGTAGAGCATTTGTGTAGCAAGCTGGAAGGCCCTGAGATCAATTTCCAGTAATGTAAGAATGTTTTCTCTGTTGTCAAACTTCCATATGACATATTAAAATGTGTCCTTTGCCCCACAAAGGCACAAAAAATAAAAGCATACCTAAATAACATATTTTTCTTATATTACAAAGGAATTAATGATTCAAGGATTTTTGGATATTGTATCATAAGCTATAAACAGTCACTTACATTTTTTTGTCATTTGATTTTCAGGGAATTTTTTTTTTTTATTGAACTGCCAAAATAGTTGAAGACTTCTAAAACCTTGCTAAACTTATTTGATGTCTTTCTGATGCAGATAGGACTTTGGAAAGAAATGTTGTTTTTCTCTGAATGGGGGGGGGGGGAATGGGTGGGAGTTTTCCAAACTCTGCTCACATGAGCCATTCTTGGTTTGTTCCAGCTTGCCAACACTTGGTGTCACATGTGAGCCTCCCACATGTGTTCACTCTTCATCCCAGCTCTGTGATTGAACTCTGCTCTTATTGACTAGGGGGCAATTGGGCAGGCATGCTTCATTCCTGGAGTTGACAGTCGTTCCATGTGAGTAAGGGGAACCTCAGTGCGTCTTAAACATACAAAAAAGCATTTGGTTTTAAAATGGAAATGTCAGGTGCTAAAGACAACTGGTATGCCTGGTTTGTTATTGTTTTCTTTAGCAATTCTATTTGAATGTTTTCTGTCTATTCATATTTATTGTTAATCTCTTCTATTTCTCCTTTCTGTGCCTTGTTCTTCTCTTTCAGTTTTGAATAGATTAACACTGAATCTAAAGTCCTACCTTCTCTCACTGGTTTTACTTGGCCTTCAGACATAATGAGGAGACTGGCTTTTCGAGGTGCTGGTTGTGCTCTGGTAAAGCTGGTAAATTACTGATAATCTACAACCTTACCCTTTTCTGTCACACTTGTCTTTTCCCTTCCCCCTTCCTAAATTTTTATTAGATTCCTCCTGTGTTCATCAAATTCACCTTTGTCCTTGTCAAAGATTGTAATGAAGATTTCTTAATTTCTTTAAGATAACGAATGGAAGTTAGTTTATCAGCTTTTTGTAAAGTAAAAACCTAGCCAGATGCCTGGCTTGTGCTTGAAATCCTAGCTACTCGAGAGGCTGAGATTTGAGGATTGCAGTTTAAAGCCAGCCTGGGCAGTAAAGTCCATGAGACACTTATCTCCAGTAAACTACTTAGAAAAGTCAGAAGTGGCACTGTGACTCAAGTGGTAGAGTGCTGACCTTGAGCAAAAGAAGCTCAGGAACAGCACCCAAGGTTCAGGCCCCGGACAACCCCCCCTTCCTCACCCCTGCCCCAAAGAAAAGAACAAAAATCAACAAAGCTATGTTTGGTCCAAGCTCTTAGAAGCTTTTAACCAATGTCCAACTAAGAATATAACAAACCAATGCCTAAAGAAAAAGAAACTTGATCATTGTAGGTTCTGTTTTTGTTTTTTGGGGTTTTTTTGGTGCCAGTACTGGGGCTTGAACTCACTAGGGCCCTGAGCTTTCCCTGAACTTTTTTGCTCAGTGCTAGTACTCTATCACTTGAGCCACAGCTCCACTTTTGGCTTTTTGGTGGTTAATTGGACATAAGAGTCTCACTTTCCTGATTGGTTGGTTTCAGACCACAGTCCTCAGATCTTAGCCTCTTGAGTAGCTAGGGTTACAGGTGCCCAGCTATTCCTGGAGATCCCCCCACCCCTAGCTTTTCTCTCTGTGCTATTGGCAACCAGTGCTTTTCTCTTTCTTTTCATTCAGCTACTAGCGTATTAATTTCTTGATATTGAATGTGGATGACTAAATTTGGGATTCATTTTTCTTTTAGCTTTCAAGCCTTAGAAAAGACCTTTGAAATCACAATAAACTAATACTGTTGTTAAATTTTGTAGGACTTCTACTGTATACCGTTTGTAGCAGTGGTTAAATTTCTAGTATTACAGTCAAAACACATAGATTTGTAAAACATAGTGTTTTAATTGTCTTAACAGTTAGTCTAAGTCTGAGAACAAATATAATGTATTTCTGAATGTCCAAACAGGACCTAAAAGCTTATATATGAGGTGGTCTTCTGGATTATCTATAGCAATTTAAAACTTATTTGTGGGTATAGAGTACATTATGTAATTGAAAGGTAACTTATTCTGCATTTAGAGAACTTTCAAAGCACAGCTTTGCTATTTCTGCCTATGTATGGACATTAAGTGTCTCACAGAGATAGTGTCTTGTGGATTCTGCTTTAATGAGTGGAGAAAATTTGTTTTCAGGGATTAATTTTTGGGTAGAAAAATTATGGTCCTCTGTCCCTTTTGTTTTTACACTACACATTTGCCTTAGACAGTGGTTTTTAATCTTTTCCATATCATGGCCCACAAAAAAGCAGATGAGGCTGCTGACTCTTATCTCCCAGGTCTGCCTAGCTGCTCCAGAGGTTTAGGGATTAGTATCTGTGTACCTATTACAGTCTCTATACATGGGTTGGTAAACTCTAGTCTAGGGTAAATTTGAGACCAGAAGTGGTTGAATCATTCAGTATTTGTGGTACACAAATGAAAATAATTTTGTTGAAATTATCCCGTCGAAATTAGTAGTGTAGCATTTTGGTAAGTGAAAGGTCCAGGAACTTTTTTATTTTCCCTTAAGAATTATAGCTAGTTTAGCGGGGCGCCTATGGCTCATGCCTGTAATCCTAGCTACTCAGGAGGCTGAGATCTGAGGATTGCAGTTCAAAGCCAAAGCAGGAAAGTCTGTGAGACTCTTATCTCCAATAAACCACCAGTAAACGGGAAGTGGCACTGT